TGAAAACCTGGACCCGAAGACCAAATCCGCTGGGCCGAAAGGAGACACGTTTGAGCAGGAAAAAGCCAAGTTTTTTTCGGAATGCGACAAGGAATTCAAGAGGGCTTTCGTGAGTTCATAAAAAAAAAAAAGTTCCTCGTCGTGGTTCTTGAAATCCCTGACATATTTGCTACCAACTTTTCGCAGAATGAAGCTCTGAGCAAAGCTGGTCAAAAGCCTTTGTGATTCGTCTATCTTGGAATATATCAGCGAACAGCTCAGCAAAGGATATGCTGTTATATACCGCAAAATATACGAGCATATTGAAGAGTGTACACGGATATCTGAATTTCCATGAGAAAGAAGCAATAAAAATATATGATCAGTATCACACAAGAATAACTAATTCAACTGAATTTCATCTTTTCCTTCATCCAACGCTGCGCAAATCGAGGCTCCACTAAATATAATGTACAGTACTGTACTTGTATAATACGCTTCATTTTCGAACTTGCATCTGAAAAATTATGTTCACTCCACTATATGCATAAAAATCAGGTTTTCTTTGTACTTTACTGTAAATTGAAATAAAATTACACACTCCATAAAAGCATAGTAGTTGACAGATTTATAAACACTGATTTATCCATCGCGTTCAAAAACGGTCGCGGTTTTCAGAAAACAAAAACTAATTGAAGACAGACAATTTTGCATAATCTATCCATTCCTTATACAATTTCAACATTTAAAAATGGACTAAGATGAAAAACCACGGGAACAGTGAACGAAGTTTTGATGGGTATTTTTATATGGAGATTGTGGTCATATGCCCAAGCAATTATAAAGAAGAAAATCTATTTACAATTGCCAGGATAATTAAATTATTATAAATTTGAAATTCATTTCAGCAATAAATCCAACCATCTCACCATCTCACTTCGCAATTTGCATTTTTCGGTCCACCCTGAATACATCAGTCACACTCACAGCAGTACTAAATGAAAAATGCATAATTACGGTAACTAAAGTCATACGGTATATTATTACAAAATTAAATAAACAGTTGAACTTTTCTTCACGGAAAAAATCCCAAAGAGCAACCATTAAATTACAACAGTAAATAATAATGTTAAAATGAAGTCATGGGGACCAGAAAGAGCTTCGATATAATGCAATTTTTTTTTTCAAATAAATTAAGTTAATAATTTGGCTCATTGGTCAAGGACTTCAAAAAAATGAACTCGCTGTAATAAGCAGCAATTCATTTCAACAAAATTCGTTGTAACGAGATTCTACTATAACCTTGCACCAGTCTTTTTTCTTGTATTCACAAGACAAATAGCAATAAAAATTTTCTAATTTAACCAATTTTCAATTCATTGTCGGGAATCTAGCCTTCGCAGGAGGTTAACCAATCAGAGATGAAGAAACGCCGATTAAGCCAAAAAATATCAACAGTTTTTTAGACCGTGAAAATAATCGTTGCCCAATCGCCACCGTATGAATTCCAGCAAAAAGGAATGCTGTTCCTGTTCGATCTTTTCACTGCAGCAACACTCGAACCGACACCCACTTCGAATGCATCACAATTTAATCATTCAAAGCAGGGATGATCTTGCAACCATCATTTCCAGATTTCTCAAGTCCATGTTCAAATCGGAGTCGATCCCGCGCAATATTGAAATTTGTGAAAAAATGAGTAAAAAACGATATAATAAAACCAGACGAATAAATATTCGCCTTTTTCCTGAATATGCTGATTTAAAAAAAATATATATACATATAACCTTTTAATTTTAATTTCTGCACAGTCAGGCGAACCATTTCCTAGATGAGATAGAAATGTATCCTTGGGTGCCATTCCATTAACCGGAAGACTTTAGTCGAAGTTCAGCAGCTGGAACATAATTATCTAGATTCCATAGACTTTAACACTTCACGGTCTCCCAAATAAGCCCACGTGAATAATTTCATGATCACGGTAAGTCAAGTCAATAAGATCAGACAGATTTTCGGTTGAGAACAAGACGAATCAAATGTAGCGCAAAAAAAAGGGCTCTCCAGAAATTCACCCATTACAAATAAAGAATTAATTCGAGCTTCGTGTAAACTAAAGGATATTCATCCAGGGAAACGACAGTTGAATAAGCCTCTCTGACAAGACAATTTAAAATTTTTCGTAAGTTTTCCATTCGCATTCGAGATTTCTCACAATATTTATAATTTTAAGGGTTCTCACAATATTTATAATTAGAAATATAAAATATACATTTATCCTCATGGGCTGATTGCTGGACACTGCAATATAACTTTGACACACAAAAAAATAAATGAGTTCAAGACTGAAAATCATGCTTCACTTTTACGCGTACAAAACAACTCAACATTTTGATATTACTTACAACGGTGACGTGGTGAAGGAATAAGCAGTGCACGGTTGGTTCTCAAAGCCATGTCTATTTATATTGAGGCTACGTATAGTAAGACCTGACACAGTACAGACAATACTACTAAGGTCCTTCCTCATTGACACAGTCACTTAATCATCACCTCGTACACTATTGAGCCAATTATGAGAAAATAATGAAAAAGATAATTGACAGCAACAAGAGTCCCTTCCGTATTGTCAAACAAGTTGTCTGCTCGTGACTGGACTTCGCCATTCTAAAAATATCCGCACAGAGGGGCCACCGACGAATTATCCAAATTTCGGGAAGAAAAAAAAAGCGCATTTACAGCGAACAATTTAATACAATAATGTGAGATCCGTTAGTTACTTTGACGCACCAATTAGCGTGGAATTCATGAATATCTGATCTGTGGGAAGTTTTTCTGCACCGAACAACATTAGCGTGAGAAGAAAACAGATGCAGTACCAACAACCTATCCGTTATTGTCAGGTCACAATCAGCTTTGATTTTCAAGGCGACAACTCCGTAAATATTGATGAGTTATCACTTTTTCGATTGTTTGATTTTTTCCCTTGTCCCTTATTGTAAACAGAAGGGCTTCGTTGTAAGCAGACTCTCTATAACATAAAAAAAGACATGTTGCTTAAAAAAAAAGGGTGCGGCCCCCAGAGGTAGACATGGGTGATAGGTAGAAAATCCCAGGAGATGTTGTTTTAAGAGAAATGCTGTTAAAAAAAGCTAGGGGACTTGCAGATGGTTGAGAGAGTTCACCTGCACTTACTCAAGGAGTCCATCAGCGTAGTACTGTAATATATAAAGCCATATAAATTTATTGCTTCCAATCCAGTACGTTTCCCTAGCAGATTAAGGAGTTATTGCATTCAAGATTATTTGCGGCTTTCTTTCATAACTTTTTGAATAAGTTGCTGAATTTACAGCAGCTCGAACGGCGTAAAATACCCCAAAATTTATGCAAAAATGCGAAAAAAACTCAGAATTCTCAACACAATCAACCATATATAAAATAAAAAATTTCGTTCCACTCTTGAACAGGTCTTATTAATGAAGTCTATCGTCAGAAACTCAAATGGACATTGTAAGGATTCAAGGGAAATGTCTATTATCCGGGTTACTCCAGGCACACTATTCACTCAACTTTCCGAAGCACCCCGATGATCCCGGATTGTGAATGAAGGAAGAAATGGAAAAAAAAGAGAGAGAGACACTCACGCGTAGATGAATAGCCCGAACAGGTCCGTCAACCTTTGGAAAAGGTGAGCTCGTCGTCAGCAGTTCACGGC